AAGTTAGTTGAGGGACAAAGAGATAGATATGTTTGGCCCATTCAATTACTCCATGCATCTTCTCAATTTGCTGGCCATGTGAATACAAAATTATTCACTTCATAATACGGTTGGTAAGCTTTCTTCTCATCACAACCACTTGCTCCATCATCATCTGTTGCATTATTATTTTGTAGCTATCCCAAACAATGAAGTAATGCATGTGTCTCCTTGATGTGATTGTAAGTGAACTCACTTTCATGGTGATAATTGCAAATTACCATTCACCACCCCCTCTTAATTTGCAATTTGAAGTACCTTTTTGAACTTCTCGAATTTTTCACGGGTGACCGCCTTTGTCATGATATCTGCTGGCTGGTCGTCGGTGTTGATGAATTCCATCACGATTAGCCCTTCATTGACGAGGTCTCGGATGAAATGATGACGCAATTCGATATGCTTCGATCTTGCGTGAAATACTGGATTTTTTTGTCATGGCTATGGCTGACATGTTGTCACAATGAATAATGGTTGGACCATTTTCATTTTGCTGCAAATCAGAAAGTAATCTTTTTAGCCATACCGCTTCGCATGTTGCATCTGTAGCTGCGATATATTCTGCTTCCGCTGAGGATAATGCCACAGTCTTTTGCTTCTTTGAACTCCAGGAAATGGGTTTTGAACCCAGACAGAATATGTACCCCGATGTGCTTTTTCGATCATCCAGTGATCCTGCCCAGTCACTATCGGTAAATCCAGTCAGCTTGCTTTCTGCTTCTTTCTTGTACATCAGGCCCAATTTCTTTGTACCTTGAAGATACCACAAAATTCTTTTGGCTGCTGCAAAATGAAGTTTGCTAGGTTCATTCATAAATCTTGATATAAGACTTACTGAATGACATATATCCGGCCTGGTATGTGTCAGGTAAATGAGTGACCCGACAAGACTTATGTACAGCTTTCCATCGACTTTTTCAGCTCCATCGTTGCGTTGTAATTTCTCGTTTAACGCCATTGGTGTTGAGATTGGTTTGCACGTTGCCATGTGAAATCTTTTCAGCATATCTTCGGTGTACTTCTCCTGTGAAATAAATATTTCTCCAGGTGACTGCTTCACTTGGATCCCAATAAAATATTTCATGACTCCCAAGTCCGTCATCTCGAATTCTTTCATCATGGTACTTTTGAATTCTTCGATCATATGCTGACTTGTACCTGTGTAAATCAAGTCATCAACATATAAACAAACCATTAGAAAATCTTTTCCTTCTCCCTTTTTGATGTAGAGAGATGCTTCACTCGGACTTCTTTGAAATCTGTTTTGCTGAAAATATCGATCAATTCTACTGTTCCAGGCTCTCGGTGCTTGCTTCAGCCCGTATAAAGCCTTTCGGAGACGATAGACTTTGTCTTCTTCTCCTTTTTTCTCATAGCCTCGTGGTTGTTCCACATAGACTTCTTCTTCCAGTTCTCCATTCAGAAATGCTGACATCCAGCTGGTATACTGGTAACTACAGTTGAGCAGCTAGAGCGAGAACTGTTCTAATGGTCTCCATCCTCGATACTGGTGCATATGTCTCGTGAAAATCAATACCGGGCTGTTGTGAATAGCCTTTTGCCACCAGTTGAGCTTTGTATTTCTGGATAGTACCATCTTCATTGAATTTGATCTTATAGATCCATTTGAGACCTATAACCAGCTTGTCCTCCAGTTGATCAACAAGCTCCCATGTCTTGTTTTTCTCGATCATGGAAATTTCTGCATCCATTGCCTCGTTCCAAACTTCTTCTTTGGATGCTTCTTCAAAGACTTGAGGCTCACAAGAAAAATATGCAACATGACTTGTTTCATAAATTTCTCGCAAAGATCTTGTTCTCAACGGAGGTGAATCCGAGTCTGTTACGACGTCTTTGAATTTGTCTACTTCTGGGCTAGGTGCAGAATTTCTTTCTGGGCTAGCAACTGGATCTGGGTCGTTGCTGGGGTCTTATGGAGTTGCTGAGTCCTCCAGAATTTCATAACTTGGTGGAGATTGAGAAATTGGATTTTCCCAATTCCACTCCGCCATCTCATCAAAGATCACATCTCGGGAAACTATCACCTCGTTGTTTACTGGATTGTAAAGACGATAGCCTTTGGATTCATCACTGTAGCCAGTGAAGATAAGCTTCTCTCCCTTCTGGTCATACTTGTCTCGGTTTGGGGTAGAGATACGTGCATAAGCTATGCACCCAAAGACTTTGAGGTGATCCACTTGTGGCCTCCTATGGTGCCACGCATGTATCCGTACTGCTTTGGTTGGTGATCTGTTGAGGATGTAAATTGTCGTGTTGACTGCTTCTGCCCACAAGTTGTTGGGAAGCTTCTTAGCTTTGAGCATACTTCTCGCCATCTCCACAATCGTGCGGTTTTTCCGTTCTGCCACACCATTTTGTTGTGGTGTGTAACGGACTGTCAGCTGCCTTTTTATCCCATTGTTGCGGCAATACTCCATGAACGGAGTATAAATAAATTCTCCTCCACGATCTGTACGGAGAGTTTTGATTTGATGGCCACTTTACTTCTCAGCTACTGCTTGGAATTGAAGGAACTTGGGAAAAGCTTCTGACTTTTGCTCTAGAAAGAATACCCACATCATTCTGGTGAAGTCATCTACAAAGAGTAGAAAGTATCTTTTACCGCTGAGTGATTGTGTTCGAGTTGGACCGCATATGTCTGCATGTACCAACTCCAGTGGCGCTTTTGCTCTCCAAGATGTCTTTGGAAATGGTAAACGATACATTTTTCCATATATGCATCCTTCACAGATTTTGTCTTCTCTATTGATCTGGGGAAGTCCCACCACCATATATTTCTGCCTCAGCAATTTGAGCCCTTTGAAGTTGAGATGACCGTATCTAAGATGCCATAGGAAGGATTGATCCAAATTTTCACTTTTGAATGCTACTTCACCATTTTGTGACATAGCAAGAGAGAAAATTTTGTTGGAAGTCATCGGGACTTTGGCCACCATGAAATTGTCTGCTTTGTTGATAATCTCGCACACGCCATTATCAAACAATAGCTTGTAATTTTTCAGCATCAGTTGTCCCACGCTCAGTAGATTGAGAGTTAGCTCAAAAATACAAAACATCTCGAATGAGAGTTTTGTTACCTTCTTCTGTGCATACAACAACTGTTCCTTTTCCTTCCACTTTTAGCTTCTTCCCGTCTCCCAATTTGACTTGAGAGCGGTATTGGTCATCGATGTCGGTGAAGGACTCTAGATCTCCAGTCATGTGGTTACTGCAACCACTATCCACCATCCAGGGAAGCTGTGATTTTTGCTCACCATTCAAGCATGATAAGGCCACCATATTGCTTTCTTCATTTTTTGTGCTGCTTGACTCGCCTTCTTCTTGCTTGTTCTGGAACCAGCAATCTCTCTGGGAGTGGTTTTGAATTCTGCACTTGGTGCACTTGAATCTGCATTCTTTTGTTGCATGGCCCGCCTTTTTGCAAATTATGCAACTCGAACCGGTGTAGCCCGATCTTTGTTGTTGATAATTTTGTCTGTTGTTTCCTCTGTAATTGGATCTTCCTCTTCCTCTTCCTTGTGAGTTTCCCCCTCTCTGGCCTTGCTCCGATTTGGCATATTTACTTTCCATCATGTTGACTTTTGAAGAGAAAGCTTGCTCCAATGGCGGTTTGGTGAAGCGGCTCATTCTTTGCTCGTGTGCTACAAGTGAGCCCATCAACTCGCTCATTGATAAATTTGCCAAATCTTTGATTTCTTCAATGACAGCAACAATATGCTCGAACTTTGATGATAAGCTCCGGAGAATTCTCTCCACGACCTTCCTCTCTTCCATGACGTCACAGGTGGCTTTGATCTGGTTGACTGTCTCCGCCACACGTGAATGGAAGTCTTTGATGGTGTCGGTTTCCTTCATCATCAAGTTGTCGAACTGTCGCCATAAACTTTGGCGCCTGATAGAGATTGCCTTTTCAGAACCTTGAAATTGTTCACGCAAGACATCCCAAGCTTCTTTGGCCTTTTTGATGCCATAGATTCTCGGGTAAATCGATTTGCTCACTGCTTGCTGAATTATTCTCAAGGCGTTGGCATTTTGCTTGGCATTCTCCTTGTACTCTTTTGTCTGTTTGCCTGCTCGTTTCTTGGAATATTCATCCTCGTCTTGTGGATCTTCGAAGCCTTCTTGGACTATATCCCAAAGATCTTGAGAGATGAAAATAGGCTCCATTTGGGCACTCCAGTACTCGTACAATTCTCCATCAAAAATGGGAATTTGATTTGATGAGGTAGCAAACATGGTGTGTGATGAATTTGTTGCCATGGCTTTTGGAGAAAATTTGTGTAGGCTAGAAAGTAGGGATTTTTAAGAGGATAAAAGGGTATTAGCTCTGATACCAAATTTGTTGGATATTAGCGGAAGTAGTGGTAATTTAGGATCAAAACAAAGGAAACAATTGGTGTTTAATCACTCTTTTTATAAATCACTCAAACAAACATAGCCTTGACTTTTGGCTTATGTTAAATCACTCATAGATAAACACACGGCAAGCTTTGCCCTTTTGCCCACTCTTGTTCTTTCTTCTCTGACTCACTCTCCCCATACATACATATATATATATATATATTACAATTGAAGTGGAAACAAACACATAATGCAACACATGCCATGCTACCTCTCTAACTCACCATGCATTTACGTAGCTAAGTTAGTTGAGGGACAAAGATATAGATATGTTTGGCCCATTCAATTACTCCATGCATCTTCTCAATTTGCTGGCCATGTGAATACAGAATTATTCACTTCATAATACGGTTGGTAAGCTTTCTTCTCATCACAACCACTTGCTCCATCATCATCTGTTGCATTATTATTTTGTAGCTATCCCAAACAATGAAGTAATGCATGTGTCTCCTTGATGTGATTGTAAGTGAACTCACTTTCATGGTGATAATTGCAAATTACCATTCAACAAAACAAAATTACATCAGAAAGAGTAATGATGATTATTCCAATACCACGGAGGCTCCCAATTCTTTGAGCTTTTCAACAATGGCGGCGGCCTCCTCTTTAGTAAGCCCCTTCTTTAGAACCGCCGGCACTTTCTCCACCAATTCTTTCGCCTCTTTCAAACCCAAATCGGTAAAGGATCTAACTTCCTTTATAATCTTGATCTTCACCGCCGCGTCGTACTTTTCCAGCCTGATGTCGAACGCCGTCTTCTCTGCCGGTTTCGAATCCGACCCGGCAGCGGCGACGTCGGCGGGCCCCGAGGAAATGGGTCCGGAGAGGGCCGGGCCGTAGCGATTGAGACCCATTTTGTGGCGGAAGAGGACAGCGTAGTCGTGGCGCTCAAGCTTCGTGAGGTCGAGAAGATCGCCGGCGATGCGGTCCAGTTTCTGGCTACTGGGTTGTTTCTGGGGCAAGGCTAATGGTCGAGAAGGGAAGGATCTCTCTGCCCGTGAAGTTATGCTAGTCAACTGGATTATTTATACACAACATTTCTTCATGTACGATATCGCGATCTGCTCACGAAGGTAGTCAACCCTGGAGTCCCGCAGCTCCGCCAGTCCTCTACGTTCAAAACCGTTGCCTCCTGTTGCTCCTCACCGCCCGAGTCCATATCTCCCCATCTACCGCTACGGATCGAACGAGTTCTGCTTGGGGTCGCAGAATAGAGATCACTCTCTGCCTCACCTAGCAGCGGTCCTCGTTGCCGTCGTAGATCGAAAAATGAGTGCTGAGCTTTCGTCCAGAGAAGGCGATAAAATGGTGGGGAGGAGCTTCGCCGGAAAAAAGATGTGTTGTTCGGTCGTTGCTGCAAACTGCCGACTATGCCCTGTTGGGTTGGTTGTACTATTAGTGGGCCGAAACAGCTGTTTGGGTCCGTTAAATGCTGCTGTCGCGTTCCACTTCAGCGCGGAAGAAAATTCTTGTTTCCAAAATTACCCCTCCGAGAAAAGCTCCGGAGGCAGCAAATTCAAAATGAGGGTTCAGTTTTAGGCTTCAGCGTATTATAAATAGGGTAGATTACATCAACTAGAAAGCATTCCAGTTTCCAACCATCGAATCACAGAGAAAGCATATATGGCGGAATTGAGCATGAAGGCCAACGCACCATGGATGTTTTTGGCAATAATGGTGGCTCTGCTGCTGATTGTTGTTCCTCTGCCTTACTGCCACGCCAATAATCCTCGTTAGCGACTGCTATGTTACTCCAAGTGCCTCGGAGATTGCCTTGGTCCACTGTTGTGTGCTTTAGTTTGGGGATAGAGTTTCGGGCCCTTGCAGCTCGGATCGCGGCCAAGGCTTAATGGGTTTTTGCTTCTTTGGAGCAATGGTGGTGTTCTGGGTGGTAAATAGATGGAGAAAAGGGACGTGGGAAAGGAGGAGATGGATTGGATTTGGCTTCTTCGAGGCAAAGCTGGCCTCCTTAACGAACAATAGGTTATTTGATTATTCTTTTCCTCCCGATTACAACTTCTAATCCATTTAAATAAAAAAACTACCAACCCCTAATCCTAAAATTAAGCTACTGGAGATAATCCCAAATACCCACTTAACAATCAAAATCCCCCCAAATCCGGCCCACTAACTGCACGTAACATCCACTGGGCGCATGCCAGGGGCGGACGCACGGAGGTTTAGGGGTGTCCCGGGACACCCATAAATTTTGGGGAAACGATTGTTCAATCCACGGTAGTAATTTACGTATGGGTAAAACATTTATAATTGGTAGTGAGGGACACCCCTGAAATTTGAAAAAATGATTATTCTAATGTCATTTTTTAAATTTGTGTATCGGAATATAAGTGATAGGTTGGGTAATTCAAACCTAGAGCACTATTATTATTAACAAACTTAATTTCCATTAAACTACAACTCATTTGTTGTTTGATTTTGAACACTGTATCATAGTAAAATGTCATTCCCTATTTCTAATTATTTTCAAAACATAGCAATTAAATTAATTTCAACCTACCCTTAATTTGTATTGATTTTATGGTTGTACGACAAGTGTTGAAAGATTCTTTCAACTTTGGATTACATCAAGAACAAGTTTACAAATCGAATATGCGATAACTTCGTGAATGATTGTCTAGTAGAGTATATAGAGACAATATTTTTAACACTGTAAAAACCAAGTGTATTCTACAATTATTTCAGAATATGAGAACACATAATGGACTTTTTTAACCTGTACGAGTAAGGTATTTTCTAATTTATAATTTTATTTTTATTACTTATTTTATTTTATTTTTACTAAATTTATTTTTTAAAAGAGGACACCCCTATGAAAAATTCTTGGGTCAGCCACTAGCGCATGCGTATATGTATGCTATCGCAAATGCAGGGCATCAGCTCTGAACAGAGAGTCGACAACTGTGATAAAGAAGATAGAGTAGCTCTCTCAAATTATATCTTTGTACTGAGACAGTGTCATCCTGTTTCCTAATAATTATGCATGTCATAATCTGCAAACAATAATCGTTAATTGTTTAGCATAAGACATTATAAAATCATACCGGGACACGCAGAAACCGTCCGATTTGATTGTCCGGATTGAAAAAGCTCTATAGCAAGGGGAGAATTTCAAAGGAGTAACCATCAAAGAAACAAAAATTAAAGGCGATAAATTATATTTATATTTTGACTAACCAAGTAGGGTTTGGCTTCCAAATCACACTCTGGACTCTGGAGTAGCTCATGAGAATCAATTTAGAGAAGAAGGACAACAATCAAGAAGGGAATCACAATGGTGCTTCCTCCCCTCTCGTATCTATTATCTTTCTTGTATTGATGAGTAACTAAACTCTAGATTATTTGGGTTATGTGGAATCCTAGCTTTGATGGTTTACAACTTGTTATTTGATCAATGTGGTTGACCTTTTTGTTGGAATTATCTCGTGTGATTATTGTTCATTTTACTTTTATAAGACGTGTATCTTAGATGATATGATCCCAAATAGTCAAATCTACACGTTTAAATTATTTGATGAAGAAGCTATTAAAGTTGGGAAAAAGAAAGGCAGAATTTGGTTAAGTATTGGAATATTTTCAGATAGTCTAATTTGGAGGCTTGGTTCTCACAATTGGCTTATTGAAAATTGGATTTCAAGGGCTTGTATTAAAAATAAAGTTGTCATCTTTCCAATGGTATGCTTTTCAGATCCAGAAAAAGTCATTAAGGTTGTTTTCCAAAGCCTCAAAGTTGCTACCTCAAAACAGGAAAACTGCCAGAATCTGCCTAAGTATAAATCTGTGTTCAGGAAGCCAACTTTGGAGCTCAATTCGAGGAGTATGGAAGGTATTCAAGTCCAAAGGCTTCTACAACATGAAAATAAGTATGTTTATCTACTAAGGAAAGGAATTGGATTAAAGATTAGAGTTCTGGAAGGCCTCGAACGAATGGCACGAAGTTAGTACGAAAGCTGCTTTTGAACTGTTTGCTGGCAGGTTACTCTTGCTTGAAGAAAGAGAGTTTGTGGCCGAATTTTGTGTTCTTTTTAGGGTTTGTTTTTACCATAATTGTTTCCTAGTCCTATTAGATTTTTATTGTCTTTAAATAGCTTTCAATTTCACATTCTAAAGCAAATAAGTTGAGTTGAATGAAAATTACTCCTACGTGAGTTTTCGAGTCTTTGAGTTGTGTCTCAAGAATCAAATCCTTTAGTTAGTTTTGTGTGGATTCCATTGCTAATTGGAGAACCCTTTCCAAGCTTTTCTGTGAGGATTCCAGATTCGTTTTACAAGTTTCTTGTCAATCAAGTAAACACCTTGTTGTGGCGAAATTCTACCTATCCATCACTTATCGTTCGAGAGTTTGGTTTGTTGCGTTACTTTGATCAAAAGCACCCCCATGTTGCTTTATCATTAGATGTAAGGGTTCAATTTATGTTTGAGATAGACAGGGAAAATCTAAACTTATAAATTCTTCACCAATCAATGAGCGGCTCTGACTTCTTAAAACAGAAATATGTAAGATCCATTACACTCAATTGGATCAAATAATCGTTAAGCATGCATAAGACATTATAAAATCAAGCCTGAGACTGCAACTAGTTTATTACCCGACCCCTTGGCCGGACGTAGTTTCGGTAATTGGTACCATGATTTTGATTGATATTACCTGTTAGCAAAGCATGACTGCGGCGGTGGTCGGAGGTAGGTCAACAATACCATAATAATCTTATCGGAAGTCATTATTGTTGAAGATGTTGAAGTAATGCTGGATGAAGGTGTTGGAGTGTTGATGAATCTGAATCCGTTATGTAGAAGGAAAGAGCTGGAGTCAAAACTGTGTCGTTCTGTGCTTAAGTGTTTAAGTATTTTTCTTAGACTGTGTCGTTTGGTTTTCTTTTGTTTTAGTCCCTGATGTCTGTCTTGTGTCAGTAGCGGTCCGTTTGGCTAAAGTAGTCGTTGCAGCTGTTAGCTTTAGCATATTCAGTTTGTTAGCCATGGGGCTATTTCCTAGGGATCGAGTTGTTAGAGTTGTTTGTCAAAGCCGAGTCTGAAGGCTTCAGTTGAGAGTTCTGTGTATAAAGGTTGATTCCCAATCAATGAATAAAGTCGTCAGTTTGCATTCAACTTGCTTACATTGTGGTATCAGAGCAATCACAAGCTATAACCAGAGAGTGTTTTATCAAAAGTGTGAGTTGTGTGAAATAGTGACATATCCTGGGTTGTGGGAAACACGAGTGGAAGTGAGGATCTTTGGTGAGAAAATTCAAAGGAGAGCAGAAAGACGAGTGGTGACAACAGTTTTGCTCAAGTAGGGATTCCCAATTTCGATGGGGATTACGATCACTGGAGTATGTTGAAGGAAAATCTGCTCAGATCCAAGGAACTGTGGAGACTGGGTTCAAGGAAGTTGATGCGGGGGCTGAGTTGACTGAAGCTCAGACAAAGACGCTGGAGGCTGCTCGTCTGAAGGATCTGAATGCTAAGAACTATCTGTTTTGTTCTATTGACAAAAGCATTCTCAAGACCATCACTCAGAAAGCAACCTCCAAGCAGCTGTGGGATTCAATGAAGACTCGTTATCAAGGAAACGAGTGTGTTCAGAAGGCAAATCTACAAGGATTGAGGAGGAACTTTGAGTTGCTTCAGATGAAAGAAGGGGAAACAGTGACCAATTACTTTAGCAGAGTAATGGTCATCGCCAATTCAATGAGAAATTGTGGAGAAGACATGACAGACACTATGATTGTTGAAAAGGTACATAGAACGCTTACTGAGAAATTTAATTACATTGTGTGTTCAATTGAAGAATCCAAGAACATTGTTGAACTGTCAGTAGATGCCTTGCAAAGCTCCCTGCTTGTTCATGAGCAGAAGTTTGCAAAGTCTCTACCTGATGAAGAACAAGCCCTGCAAGTGTTTGGTGGAGGTAGAGGAAGAGGAGGCAGAACTGGATATCAAGGCAAGG